CCCGCAGCCCATCAGTCACTGGAACTCACCCGCTAATGACTGCCATTTAGGCAACCAGAGGAAATCAGAGTGATAATCGCCCATCCTCCCTGCAGCTCATCTCAAGAATGTGAGGTATCTGGTCTTTGTGTAACATTCTTCCCAATGACCTTGGCTTTTTACAGGAAGAAGTGGAGATGAATGAGCCACAGGAAAACACTAATTTCCATATATTAGAGATGATGAAACAGGTTAGTGGTTTAACCAAAGGTAATCTGTAAGACTGAGAGTATAACAGTTTTAAGGGCAGAGCTTCCACAGCGAGTTTTTGGCAGCTGATTAAGAACCCAGACACTTATTTCTCGGTGGTGCATTAGGTGAGGAGCTGGTAGGCAGGAGACCAGGCCCCCAGCCTCCCAAACCTGGGGGAGGCGTCCCAGCCCTGCTACTCAGGTGGTGTGACCTTGAGCCAGTGACTCAGCCTCTCGGAGGCCCCGGTCCCTCCTCCGCCCGACTCTCCAAAGAGCCATGACATGAAATAGAAACGCATTCAAGTGCTCCACAAACACTAGGAAGCAGAAGGCCGAGGAGACTTGAACGATTGCAAGGGGATCGCAATGTGAGCAGTAGAGATCTGAGATAAATAACCAGTGAGCGCAGTGAATGGGCGCTGCTTCCCCACTGCAGCTTCCAAAAATACTTTCAAAGAGCAAATCTACAGGCCTCGGGTGGAGCCTGTCAGCCAACCCTGACCAAGGGCCTTTGGACATTTTCTTCTTAGGCCATTGTCATTACTGTCCCTAATGGGGACTGTGGCTGGCTAAGGCTGTTAATGCGGCTGTCCCCTTCAACAGAGCAGTGACAATTCAGAGGCCATGCTCAGCGGTGTTTCTCAGCAAACAAGCGAGTAAGCTGGCAGACCTGCCCAGCCACCAAGGGGCCTGGGACAGCCGTGCTCAGCGAAGGAGGGCACTCACAGAAGGCCGTCTCCAGCCCTGTCCCCTCTGCAGGCTGGACAAGCCCATCCCTCCCCGCCGGGCCCAGAGGCTCCTGTTTACCTGGGGGCACACGCGTGGAGCCTGGCGGACAGGAGGGAGCTCCTGCATGTCCTGTAGGGGCTCCTTGCCTCAACAAGGTAGGAAGTTTTGGCTTCATGTTCCCCGCAGCCCCAGGGGAACACTGTGCCCTCTTTCAAATCCTGGCACAGTGTGGGGTGTGAGGGGGGCGGTGAGCCCGCCAGTCTCTGCCTGCAGGCCCCGCTGTGCTCTCGCTGGGGTGGGCAGCCATGCGTCCCTGCCCCCGTGACAGACCAGCCACCCGCCCCTACTCCTGCCTCTTTCAGCCTCAGATCAGCGCCTCAATTTTGCCTCCTCCCGCCCCTTTCCCAAAGGCTGTCAAACTGCCAGCTGCCGCTGTCTCCGGTGGGTCTCTATGGACCTGCCATCCGCCCCAGTGAGAGGGCTAGAGCATGGTGGGTTAGTTTCCCACCCGTTTGCTAGTTCTCTTTATCTTTGGAAAATGTGCTTTTCGAGCTTTGTGTTTATTCTCATACTTGGCTTAATCTAGTGTGTCACTGTTTCTGGCTCAGCCCTTCCACCGTTCTTAGCTTTCTGGGCTTGGAGAAATGCAGGTGGAACGGGCGGATTTGGGGGTCACAGCCACGAGCTCCTCTGGGGTTGGCGGCCACTCTCTGAGCCTCTCTTACTGGTGGGGGCGGCGGGGGGTGGGGGGATGCAGAAGTGAAGCAAGTGTCCCATCGTTTCCGAGGGAGATAATGAAGCAAACCGCTAAGAGACACCACTAAGTGCTCCCCACCACTTTTTTCAAAACATGAAGTATGACCATATTACTGTTATAGGTAACTGAATCCAAAACTAATTATTCCTGTTCGTTTCTGTCAGCCGTTTCTGGGTTGCTCTTTGTGGGTTCAAGTGCAGATTACATACTCCAGAGGCAGAGACCCATCACAGAAGTGAACTTCCCTGCTGGCGTGAACCCATGAACACAGTCCGCAGTGAAAATCGCGTGTGTGTGGCTCCATGGTATTTGCCAGGGTTAATTAGCTGGGGAAAGAGAACATGGGACAGTCTCTTCCTCTCCAAACCAGCCCTTAGTCTGTTCTAGCTCTGCCCCTGCCTCTGCCAACTTGGGTCTGGACGTGAAAGAAGGCAAGGAAGGGCTGGGGAGGGTGCGTGGAGGCAGAAGGCACTTCTCACACAGGGGGACCAGCGGAAGAAGACCCAGAAGGCCCGGGGAGGCAGCTTCGGCAGAGTGGTCCTAGGAGTGGGGGGAGGGCAGGGTGACCGGGGGGAGGGCAGGAGGCAAATGGAAAAGGCAAGTGTGGAAGGCAGGAGCGCCAGCTCCTCCCCAAGAAAGTGGACCAGCCTGTCTCCCCCGCCTTCCTTGTCACGGCCGATGGCATCGCCACCCAGTAGGCTACCCTCGCCTTGGATGGTGAGGCACTGGCACCGAGTGGTGATAAGCACAAGCTCTACACCAAGACAGGCTAGGTTTCAAGGTCTGGCTTTGACCTTTACTACTTACTACCTGTGTGACCCTGGACAAGTTCCTTAGCTTTCTGTAGCCCACGTGACAGTACTAGGACTGCCTGGTAGGGCTGCTGAGAGAACCGAACAGTGCTCAGAACGTGGTTAGCGTTCATGCTTCACCCGTTCCCATCTCCTACTGCACGTTTTTCATGAACCCCCAAGTTCTGGAGCTCCCACGTTTGCGCCTTGCCGTGGGTGCTCTGTGTTGAGGGGGATGTGGTGCCCGCTACAGGAGACGCGCTCTCAGGGGCAACACAGCCCAACACAGAGTGTGTTATTTTATAAAGGGATTTTACTGTTTGAATAGCTGCTGATGCCTGAGGCCATAACTCTGTGATAATTACCATGTCTTTGAGAACTTTCTGCACCATCAATGAGAAGACAGAATTCAAAATCACCACACAAAATCGTCTTGAAAACCGAGTTTCTTCGGAGCCAATTTACCCTTCTCTAAGCCTGCCTGCGGAGAAAGGGCAGCACACGCATTCTCCATAGTGATGACGTGCTTGGCCTTCTCAAATTACTTGGTGTTTCGCAGGAAGCAAAACCTCTCAGTTTCACATCTCAGCATCCGCTCCGTGAAAAACAAAGTGAAACCTAGCAGAACGGCCCCCGGTGCACGGAATGTGGACCCTGTCCACCGACTTGTTCCCACTAGTCCCTTTTTCTTTGAAACGAGAGCACACAAAAGGAGGGACCCTGGCACACCCAGGAACAAACCACTGTCACAACGACCTATTCAGTGGGGACATGCGTCACCACAGTGTCAAAAAACCCTCTTTAAAGTCTGTTTAAATCAGTTGTCGAATGGATTTTGGGAATCCTTTAACTCCCACACTTCCACGACGCTTTATTTGCAATAGGATCCTTGTCCTTGTCACTCCGTCTTTTTCTGTGACTCCCGCTGTGATGTTACTTTGCCCCCTCCGACTGTGTCGCTGCCTGGAGGGAGACTGAAGGGCTCAGATTTCTGGCCCACTGGTTTCGGACATCCTGCCCTCAAACTCACCTAGTTCTCTCTGGTGCCGACCTTTCCTACATGCTGTTCTCTCCACCTGGAAAATTCTCTCTCTGGTTGCTAACTCCTGCTTATCCTTCCAGATTCAGTTTGTACATCATTCCCTCCAGCAGGCATTCCCTGACTCTCAGATCGGAGCAGGCTGTCACTCTTTACCCTCCCGCACCATCCTGTGCTTCCCAAACCCAAAGGACTTCACGTGACACTCTGATTACCTGCTTATCTCTCTGCATGTCCGCTAAGCTGTAACTCGGAAACGGGACTGCGCCCATTCACCATCGTGTCCCCAAGTGTCTAGCAAACTGCCTGTTCATGATGGGTCCTGCTTAAATATGTAAAGAAGAAACATACGAGTGATTTGACAGTGAGGAAACTGTAAAATATTTTTATGACTGCCTTAGAAGATCTCAAGTTCTAAGTAAAGTGCTTAAGACAGTAACATCTAATGAAGTATTTTAAATCTGAGATAATTACGAAGTCAATCAGAATATACCCACTTTTAATTTGAGCCAAGTTTATTCTATTCGTTTAATGGAGTTGGCTAAATAGAAACTCAAATAAGTGCTGGCTAATTATGCTAATTAACAAATCTTGGAATTCATATGTCAGCTCAAAAGTACTTCCTTTGCCAGATCAAATCCTAAATAATCTTTCCCAGAACTGTTAGCCTTTAAACTCAAAAAACAAAAATTCTCCCCCAAAGATATTTTTATTGATTTTAGAAAGAGAAAAGAAGGGGGGATGTAGGGGGAAGAGAGAAGGAGAGAGGAGAAACAATGATCGCTTGCTTTTCGTAGGCACCCTGACTAGGGATCAAACCCGCAACCTTGGTGTACGGGATGACGTTTCAACCAACCGACCCACTAGGCCAGGGCCCTTTACATTTTTGGAAAACAGTTTGATTAACTCATCAAACTTCTCCAGAATTCAAGCTCTGGGAGGGCAGGAACTGTATCTGATTTTACTCACCACTATAGTCCCAGAACCTGGTGCAGAGTCTTAGAAATCATTGGCTCTGAGAAACCCTGAGACCTGATAGGTAACTGGTCGCAGAAGCCACTTGTCCCCAAGGGCATTTGTGGAGTTCAACAAATTCCAACCATCATTCTGGTAACCCTGAGAGGCAGTAGGAGCAGAAAGCACCTCGCACAGGTGGGAAGGCTACGAGGAGACACTTCTCACAACAGAGTCGAACCCAGTGGCTCCGCAGTGAGAATGAACCGAAAACAGTCTATCCCTTATGAGGAATTTAAGTCTGGGTGAGCCTGGGTATTCCACAAAACTCTAACAACGGTCTTCAAGAACCGGCACCATGGGCACTACCCCCTGCTCACTCCTCCGGTCCTCTCCCTCTCCCCTGCCTTCACTTCACACCGGCCCCGCCGACCGCCCCGGTGTCCCTCCAACACGCCGAAGACCCCCCGCTCTCCCGCCTTCACACGCACAGCTCCCTCTAGGTCTTGACCCAGTTTGCGTGGTGAAAAGCAGTGTCAGTTTGGGAGTGGCACCCAGGCATTAGAATATTTTTTTATATGCCCCATATCTTTTAAAAATGATCAGGGATCATTTTAGTCTTTCATAGATAATTGTTGAAATTGAGTGCTAGGTACATGCAGAGCCTTACACTGTTCTCTCAACTACATAAAGAACGAAATCAAAGCGTCTCCAGTGATTGTTATGTGCGAGACCGTTGTTAGGCACTGGCCTGTGATCCCCAGAGTCGATTGTTCTGCCCATGAATATAACAATAGAGACATTTCTGTTTGAAAGGCTGTCTTAATGAATTAAAAAGATACTGTAAGATGAAAATTTCAAACTTATTTTTAAAAATACGAGAGAAGAGAAATATGCATTTGAATCCTCTTTGTAATATACAAGTATATTAACAATAAAAATGCCATTCAGCGTTCTGTTTGTCTCAACTTAACTCCCAACCAACGTGGCGTCCACAGGAAGGGGAGGTCGGGGCCCACGGTTTACAGAACCAGAGGCCCCGCACGAGAACATGTGGAACGTGTACCCCAGACTCAATCTTCCTAATTCCAGGAAGAGGCTTGTTAACAATGGTGCTCCAAACAGGTCGAGATTAAAGGGCTTCTTATTGCCAAGTTACCCCAAAGCTCTCGGACTGCAGTCATCTTCCATTTGAGGTCTTACCACAACTTTCACTAACGCTTAATGTATTTTGATTTAAAGTACAGAGAGTGGAAGAATGAAATTCTCTTCAGTTTCAAGTAAACTGATATCTAAATCTGAAAATATTACCAAAGGTGATACCTTTTCTGTTTTAAAAATAAACCACCCAAATGAATTTATTGGTGTGAGTTGTCAAGAAACCCCACAAAGAAAAATTGAACTGTCACCCTATCTTGCCATAGCGATGAGAATCTGGAACAGGTTAACTGAGGGTTTTGGATGTGGAACCATGTGAGTTCCATCAGAAATGGCTATCTGGATGATTAGATTTGCTCTGAGCCCCCCTCAGAAGACGGGGGACCCTGCAAAGCTGCGCTGGTTTGCAGGCTGTTCCCACCCATGCTTACCAGGTGGCTACTGATGAGCCTGAGCTCTTGTATCACCAGACTCAGGTCTTCGTGCAGTGTGACTATGGCATTTCTGACCTCCCCGAGAAGAACGGGAACGGAATGGTTTGCTTCGGGCTCCCTGGGCCGGCCTTCGGTTGTGTGAACGCCAGGACAGGTGAAGCGGTCTACACTGTGGGTGGAAAACTCTACCCAATTACTGCTGGAAAGAGGACTTGGATTCTTTTTCACAGACTCAGAAGTATCTGGAAGAACATCCAGTGGACTGAAGTTGTCCATTTCTTCATCAAAAGACACAGGGCCCTGAGGAACAAAGGGGTGATGGACCCCGGCTGTCTTATCTCTCTCTGTGTTGGAGGCTGGAGAACCCTGTTGATGGGACAGAGTCCAGATGGATGGTACAGCCAAAATCGGGGGCAAGAGAGGAGCAGGCTTCTCTGGAGTGGCTGAGTCAGGAGACGACATGGATAATGTAGAGAAGGATGATGTCACCTCCGAGGTGGTTGAAACTAAAATGTATAAACGAGAGAGGAAGGTTATCTAATAGTCAAATGAGAGTAATAGCTAAAATAATTTTATAATGTGAAATTCTATCTGAAAGGTCTTGATATAAATACACGACTTAGAATTTTATATGCTAAATAATCATAAAAAAACTAAATAAAACCAAAGTGGGAAATAGAGAAAATCTAAAGATGTATTACATGTCAATAATACCATAGACATGAAATTATAATAAAACGATCAATATTCATCTTCACTCTCAGATCCTGACGTGTTTTTACACCCCACTTACCCGAGAGAACAGAAAATGAGGGTGTTACACCCTGTCCTCCGGTGGCATTTTAAGTTAGCACTTAAAATAGAAAGTCTGAGGAAACTGCAACTTAGATTCCATCTCCTTTTTTATTTCTGCAGAGATACGGCAGCAAAATGAACCACCAACTGCAACCACTAGAAGTTGGAAAACGAATTTTTTTCTCTCAATAGTCAAATACAGTCAAGACTGAAGTTCAATCCATTCGAGATCTAAGGTACTAGCACACACGTACATGTAATTTTTCCACAAGAAACAATCCATAAAATAAAAAGCATTCTAAACTCATTTTCTACAAAATCAAAGGTTTAATAACATTTTAGCTTCCTTTCCGGTGATGTCATATTAAGTCTCTTCTCTCACATTTCATTCTCAACCATCACTCCCAGACTGGGCTCGGAGGACCCGTGGCCCTGGAGGCGCGGCGGAGAGGGGCGTCCTTGTGAGAGTGGTGCTTCCGGGTCACGCTGGCCTGCGCCGGTCCACGTCGCCCCTCCCGTTGGTAGATTAACAGCAGCTATCGGTACGTTGATCGATTCAAGTATTTTTCCAAATCTTTTTGGACACAGAACTTTTCCTCTTCTCCTTGGACTATCTATTTACATTCATTTATCTATTAGGTGGAATAAATTGGCTAAACCCAGTTCTAAAGTGTGAATTTGCTGCTTAAATTTTTTTAAAGAACTTATTCCCTGTAGTCATAGAGCAGGGAAATTAATGTTTGGCACTCAGCACACGTGACTTAGCTTTCTGTGCTCTCTCATTTCCTTTACGTGTCCACGTCCCTGTAAGCTAGGCTGGACATCCTGTAAAAATTATGGCTGGGGTAGGCAGCTTCTGTTTTCTGCTTCAAAGCCCTCCAGTTCTCAGGAAAAATTCCAATTACAAGACTGTTTGGGGGCAAAATGAATGCTCTCAGCCGACACAGCAGCAGCAGGATATGAAAGGAAAGGAGAACATCATCAGCACAGTCAAGACACGACACGCACACGAGAATCTAGGTCAGGCTTCTGCAGGCTGTCCTGGGTTGGAAAGGGTGTGACGGTAACAGGCATGCCAATGACAAAAGCCTCTGCATGTCTGCGTCCAGAGTCACACTGCTACACTCTCAACTGTGTGGGTTGCGGCGTCTGGATCACAGAGTTCTGTCACCTGACATGTCCCTCCTGTGCTGGCTCTCCTGTTTTCTATACCCCATGTCTCTCTTGGTTTACTCTCATTTTGGAATAGCACATTCTCCGCTAGTTCACTGAGAAAGGCTGCAGGAAAAGTAAAAGGTTTGAGAACTTGCATGTTTGAAAGTGTCTGTATCCCGGCCACCCCGTCTTCAGGCGAATCTGCAGTGGGTGTTTCCAGAGCAGGTGAACTGCAGTGGTGGCCTGTGAAAGCCCAAGCTGCCTTTAGCTTCCTCATTTTGTCTCATAACCATGTCCACCAACGAGAACCCTAATTCGCCTACTGTACGCCTTAACAGGTACAAGAACAAGGAGAAAGGCAGTACGGAAAAGAGGTGTCAGCGAGGAGACGTTCATGTGGAGCTGAGTAGAGCAAAGAAGGATGACCAGATGCTAAAAAGGAGAAATGTTGGCTCATTTCCTGACGCTGCTGCTTTGCTACTGCAGGAGAACCACAGCAACCAGGCCGCTGTAAATGGGTCTGTTGAGGTCACTGTCAAGAGCACAAATAGCAACCATTTGGAAAGCAGCTCCAAGCTGCTCGAGCTAATAGGAAACTGCTTTCTCGGGAGCATCAGCTATACATGACGACAAGCCAGGCTGGTTTGGTTCCACGATGTGTCCTTCTAGGGCAGAACGGACTGTGGTCCCACTCATTCTGAACCGGTGTGGGCCTCACTAACAGGCCAAGGCCATAGTAGATGGAGCTGCTATTCCAGCATTCATTTCTCTGTTGGTATGTCCCCATGCTCACAGCCGAGAACAAGCCGGATGGGCTCTAGGAAACACTGCAGGGGATGGTTCCGTTTCCCAAAACACGGTTATCAAAGCCGGTGCAGGTGTTGGCTCTTCTTGTAGTTCCCAATATGCTGTCGTTAATGTGTGATAATTTAGGTAATCTCACCTGGACACTTTCAAACCTTTGTCACAACCAGATCCTGCACCATTGTGAGATGCAGTTGAGCAGATTCTTCCTACCTGAGTTCAACTCCTGTATCATGATGACCCAGGAGTCTCAGCAGACAGCTGCTGGGCCGCTTCCTACCTTACTGATTGATGGCGAGAATAAGCAGATTGAAATGGCTGTGAAAACAGAAGCCGTGTCCCCGACTTGTGAAGCTCGGAGGAGCTCCTGAATTGCCAATTGTGCCTCCTGTGCTAGGTGCCGCAGGAAGGAAGGAAACATCGTCCCTGGGACAGATGGACAGGCTCGGGCTGTGATAGATGTGGCAGCTCTTGCTGTCTTCCCCAGCCTGCTACGGAACTCCAAAAGTGATACTCAAAGAGAAGCTACACGGACAACGTCAAACATCACAGCTGGCTGCCAGGACCGGGAACAGCAAGTTGTGGATGATGGATTGGCCCCGCTCCGCACGGGTGTTCCAGGGCGGACTTCAAGGCACGGAAGGAAGAAGTGGGGAACAGTCGAACAGATTGTATACCTCATTCATTGTGGCGCAAGAGAACCATTGATAAAGCTCTTAACTGCGAAAAATACCAGAATTAATCTGTTAATTCTGGTGCCATTTCAAATACCTTTCAGGTGGAGAAACGTAGCACGATGATTAAAAAATGTGGGGGTATAGACAAAATGGAAGCTCTATAAAACCATGAAAATGAGCGTGTGTACAAAGCTTCATTAAACTTGAGTGAACAGTGTTTCTCTGTAAAGGAAGAAGAAGAGGAAGAGGAAGAGGAAGAGGAAGATCAAAATGTTGTGCCAGTAACTAGGTCTGACGGTTGGTTCTACTGTCCAAGTCCAGGATGCCACTCCCCTGACCTTTAACTTCGGGATTGTGCGGCTGAGGCAGAAAGCTCTTTGTTGTGTACTCTATTTGATGTAAGTTTGTCCTACTGTTTCTCTGCTAAGAATACTTTTTAAATGTGGTTTGTTACTGTAGCACCTTTTACAACTTGAAACTGTACTTGATTAGATCCAACCTGTACATACAGTATGAACATTCTCCTCTTAATGGGTGTCTTATTTCTATGTGGAATTTCATATCTGGTAGTGTCCGGTAAATAAAGACTGAATTCTACCCTTAAAAAAAAGTAAATATCTGTATCCTACTTTTTTTTTTCAGTGATTGCTATTTTAAATGTATTTTATTGACTATGCTATTACAGTTGTCCCATTTCCCTCCTTTATTCCCCTCCTCCCTGCACACCACCTCTCACCCACATTCCCCAACTTTAGTTCATGTCCATGGGTCATACACATAAGTTCTTTGGCTTCTCTATTTCCTATACTATTCTTAACCTCTCCCTGTCTATTTTGTATTTACTATTTATGATTCTATTCCCTGTACCTTTTCTCCCATCCTTACCCTACCCCCTCCCCTCCCACTGATAACCCTCCATGTGATCTCCATTTCTGTAATTTTGTTCCTGTTCTAGTTATTTGCTTAGTTTATTATTTTTTTTAGGTTCAGTTGTTGATAGTTGTGAGTTTGTTGTCATTTTACTGTTCATATTTTTGATCATCTTTTTTTTACATAAGTCCCTTTAACATTTCATATAATAAGGGCTTGGTGATGATGAACTCCTTTAACTTGACCTTATCTGGGAAGCACTTTATCTGCCCTTCCATTCTAAATGGTAGTTTTGCTGGATAGAGCAATCTTGGATGTAGGTCCTTGCCTTTCATGACTTTGAATACTTCTTTCCAGTCCCTTCTTGCCTGCAAGGTTTCTTTTGAGAAATCAGCTGATAGTCTTATGGGAACTCCTTTGTAGGTAATGTCTCCTTTTCTCTCACTGCTTTTAAGATTTTCTCTTTCTCTTTAATCTTGTCTAATATAATTATGATGTGTGTTGGTGTGTGCTTTCTTGGGTCAAAGTCTTTGGGAATCTCTGAGCTTCCTGGACTTTCTGGAAGTCTATTTCCCTCCCCAGATTGGGGAGGTTCTCCTTTGTTATGTTTTCAATTTCTTGTTCTTCCTGTTCTCCTGCTGGCACCCTTACAATTCAGATATTGGAATGTTTAAGGTTTTCCTGAAGGTTCCTGAGCCTCTCTTCATTTTTTAAAATTCTTGTTTCTTCATTCTGTTCTGGTTGAAAGTTTATTTCTTCCTTCTGGTCCAAATTGTTGATTTGAGTCTTGGTTTCTTTCCTGTCACTGTTGGTTCCCTGTACATTTTCCTTTATTTCACTTTTCATAGCCTTCACCTTTTCTTCTATTTTGTGACCATGCTCAACCAATTCTGTGAGCATCCTGATTACCAGTGTTTTTGAACTGTGCATCTCATAGGTTGGCTATCTCTTTGTCAGTTAGTTGTATTTTTTTCTGGGTTTTTGATCTGTTCTTTCATTTGGGCCATTTTTTGTGTCTTGGAGCACCTATTATGTAGTGAGGGCCAGAGCCTTAGGTCTTCACCAGGGCAGGACAACCCATGTGGCTGCACTGTGGCGCTGTATGTGGGGGAGGGGGTCTAAGAGGGAACAATGCCACTTGCTCAGCTCTCTGCCAGCTTTCAATTACTTCCTTTGCTACCCACAAACAACTTGGGCCCTTCTGG